TGGAATGTGGTTATTAATCTCTTCTTGCTTTGTTGATAAATATTCCTTTGTTACATCTTAAAAAGATCTATTTCTCAACTTTTCCTTTCCTTTAATTACATCACTAGGTCTTTTCAGTTTGACTGTCCTGTTGATTAGTTATCTTATTTTATTAACTGAGCTTTACTCATCCTAGTCTTATCAGTGTCTACTCATTATGTAATCACTAGTTTCTAACGCTTTGGGCTTATTAAAATCAATATTGTAGAATGTCCTTTTAACATAAGGTACTGATGTGTCATAAAAATAACTTCCAACTAAAATCTTCCATGTAATTTAAACCCATTTTGTAATTATGATTTTTAAATATTACAGATTGTAAGCAACTGACGAGAAACAAATGAAATAAAATGAATTCACGCTATTCTGTTAGGATCGTTGTTCATGCTCTCTTCGAAAGTACATTGAGATGGAGTCAGTTACTATTATAACACAATTTATAAATTTAAATGCAATGTAAAATCCTAGTATATTCTAAACAAAGAAATATCTAACTTGATAGTTATATAAGATCACATACATAGTTCTTATTCTATTAAGAGTATTATGAAATATTTGTTTAGGTAGATGCACTGTGGTCTCTAAGTCGAGTTACTTGAAAGATGCAATAAATCAAATCTTATAATCTAAACAGAATATATGGAACAAACACTCTTAAGAGAAGCCGGGTGATCAAGTCTAAATAGACAGTTGTTCCTGAACACCAAACGTAGATTTATCGGATTTTGTAGTTCATTCTCGAGAATGAAACCTGAAGGATTTCATCTTTATTACATAATCCGACCATCTTTACATTTATACTGATGTATATTTCATACCTCAAACCTAGTACACTAAATATTTAGCAACCTTTTACAGACCGACCATAGATCGCTTACTCAAAATGTATATATTTCACTATTGGATAGTAGCTGCACCTAGACCAACACATGCCAAGAATTCATATGTAGTGGTCAGCTCATTTAAACCGTAACATTACTTATTAATATATGCAAGTTATCTTCCTAAACATAATTCGATTTCCAAGTGCTATTTCAACACTCCTAAAGGAGGACATTGATTGACTTAACACAGCATGAGACTTAGATGATGGGTTTCCTGCTGACCACTTCCAACGATCAACCTACATCTCAACATAGTCCAAGGGATGTCTACTCATCCGGACTAGCAGCCATATTGCAACTTGATCGACAGAATACGTTTTGAGGGATCAGACAGATTTTTTGAGTTTGTACATTACACTTCAAAGTACAAATAATCTTAACTTTCACAACACTACTTGGTCACTTGAGATAATGTAGTTAGAATCAGGACAAACTTCAAGTTGTTAGTTTTCCACCAAGTTATGACTGAAGATTAATACAAAACAGATATCAAGAGACGGCATTAAAATTAGTTACTTCCTGTAAGTCAGTCAGCTACAACATATGACCAGGCATATTTATGCATCGGTCCAAGTTGCCATATCTAATTAGCACAACAAGATAAACACCGAATTCATAGAAGTAGTTAATTCACTGGTGGTATTATATAAAAGAAAGATTGCATATAAGGACATAGTACAGGAAGAAAGAATTAGTTCATAGAAAGAAAGAAATCAATTAATTTTGATCTCACAGTTTAAAACAAAAGAGTGTATACACTGACTTCAAAGACTGATGCCACGTTTTATATTGGCTGCCACTAACTTTCTTCAAACCATCCCCAACACCGGTTAGCATTGCACGTCGTGCTAATCAGTGTTCAGGCGTACATAACATGGTCCAACTATCTCAGTCGATGAAGATTCACAACCTCATCAACTGATTTACCATCATTCCCTGATTCCCTGTGTCTAACATCACTTTTACTTACCCGGTGATCCCAGCAGATGCGAGCAACATTTCTAAGGCATCTGTGGTCAAATACTAGTAGCTTACTAGTATCTTCTACCCTTAATGGTCACGTTTCGCATCTGTAAAGTTGAAAAGAGTGAACTACCGCGCAGTATACTCGTCTCTTAATTGATAGATGAGTATCTCCCCTTCGCAATAGGTGACCTAAGTTGGCAAAAGCCAAACGACCTTTTTGAATCTGTGAAGAGATTTCGTCAGACACCAACTCATTAGGGATGATCACACTTCCAAAATAAGTGAAGTTGTCAACGCGTTCGACTACTTCACTCCCTATCCTTAATTCAGGTGTTGACGAAGGCTAGTCCTGGAGCAACAATTTGCTTTTAGAGGGGGAGAAACGCATTCCAAACATTCTGGCATTGTTGCTCAGTGCTACCAAAAGACACTGCGTTTTATCAGATTCTTCACCGAACAGGACTTTCTCATCTGAGTATTCTAAGTGGACCGCCTAGTAAGAGATCAATACCCGAAAATTCAGTCGACGAGAACGTTATTTACAGCAGTGAGTCCATGGTGAAGTTGAACAAAAATGGAGCTAGTCGGCAGACTTGTTGGACACCACTCGAGGTTGACTGTTCAAAAACTTAATGAATGGCGAATATGTGGTCGATGCAGCCACGACCAGGTCTAAATTCAGCCTGATTTTCTCGTGTTTGCAGTTCACGAATCTCGGTCAGGCGCCCGATAATTATTGAGGCTAGTATTTTAGATTCTACGTTAGTCAAACTAATCCCTCTATGGTTGTCACAAGATGATTTTGACCCCTTCTTATATATTGGGACGATCAATGATTGCGACCAGTCAGATGGGATTACTCCCAACTCCTAATATTAGTCAACCTGATCGCCAAAACTAGACCACCATCCATTAAGACCTCTGGAGCCAATCCATCTGTTTAACCTATATCTCGTTTGCTTTTGCTCTTCGTGTTCAGAGCCTGATAAAATGAGTCTACGAGAACCCATCAGTACTGTAGACTCGAAAGAAATTTAATGGTTTTTTGTAACCCTTTGGTTTAAATCACTGATATACGTCACTGCTGTTTGTATCTTTCCAAGCAACATCTGGATCAGTTTCGTTTTCAGAACTACTTAAGTGTGACCTCCGTTGTCCCTGGAATCTACTTTTGGCTTTCTCGTCACTCAGTCCAATTTTAATGAGACTTCTTTATGGTTTTTTCTGCGTCCAGTGAGGAGCAAGCAGATGCGTGCTCGTACTAGAGAATGATCGGAGTTCAAACAGGTATTCAAGAACGAGCGCGTCCTCCATCGAGCCTCTCCAACAATCACTGATGGCAATATAGTCTATTTGATTCCATCATCGGCTTGGTGCAGTGGGTCGCCATGTCAGACGACGTCTCCCCTTATGCTTAAAATTAGTGCTTGCTAAATACAAACGACTATCTGGGCACAGTTGCAGCAGACGATCACCATTATTTGTTTGATGAGCCGGGATACTTAAACGCCCACCCAAATGTCTTTCTGCTTGGTTTGACCTACCTACTTGGGTATTAAAGACAACTGCTACGATTACTATGTCTAAGCGCTTAGATTTATGAAGTTCAGATAGCTTTCTGTAAAAGTCATCTTTCACTTCATCCGGGCTGCAGTCAGTGGGAGCGTAGGCAGAAAAGACAAAAAGGCAACGACGTGTGTCCCTATCCTTCTGAGTTCTTACGGGGCCGTTTAGCCGAACAGCACATAGACGACTGTTAGCAGGGACCCACTTCGAGATTGTTCCGCCCTCGTACTTCGTGCTATGCTTACACCTGCCAGTCCACGAGAACTAGCCATCGAGTTGCCAGATACACGGGTGTATTTCGTCGGCTCTCCGTGAGTGAGTGACCACACTAGGATCCTGTATGCGTGTTTCGGAGACATAGCATACACCAATCGAATGAGATTCTAAGGTTTTAGTCAAGGAGGCCTGTTGGTTGATTTGGCACGGGTGCGCACGTTGAAGGCTCCATTGTGTAGTTTGGAGGGAGGTTTCAGTAGACCTTGGACAGTTTTTCGTGCGCTAGAATCATTGCTTATGGTGACGCTGTCGATGAGGGGGGAATAATAGGGATTGGAGAGTGAGATTGATTATGAATACAGTGATCTTGAGTGTTGTTAGAGGTATGAGGGCGGTTATCACTTCCCCGTTGCCCACATCGTGGAGAGGTACTTCTAGAGGTACCTGAAAATTAAATTAGATTAATCTTAGTGACCTGAGAACGAAACCGCAGTGCCCAAGGGATAACTGCTTGAGGTCGGTCACACATGAACTCTTGTGGGTAATTTTTATTAGTTCCGCACTTGTTGGGACCCTATAGCCGTTGACGGATATCCGTGGGACAAGGTAGTGTGCATTGTTAGGGTCGACGTTTTCTAACCCTACCCCTCCTTGTGGGAAGACAGCATCGCTGTTAAGCTGGTTGTCTGAAAGGAAACACCTTACTACCGTCACACCTCTGTACAGCCAGCAGTACAACTCCGCTTCGGACCTTGGGTTTGTTACTTTTAGTCTTACCGCTCTTCAACCGACCTGTCTGACATGGTAGGACCTTGAGGAACGGTTGTTCCAGCCAGTATAGTTCGATTGGTTCATCGCGATAGGTAAGCCCGATCACCACGTCAAGGTAGCAGCAACAATGGTTATAACTTTCTACTTGATCCAATATCATCTAATATATTAAGCAGGTCTGGATTAGTTTATTGATACAATTCTTTAAATGCCAAGAGGTTTATGATTGCATAAAGTTTTCCAAGTTGTTTAGTGCATTTTATATGCATAATGACTCTGTTGAGCTTCAGTTTTTTCCCATAAAATTTTGTTGATTTCAGTGAAGACAAGTAGACAAAAATTTTATTTTACAGTAACATAAGATAACAAAAGGGATTTATGTAAGCATATATGGAAAAACATATATTAGCGGGCCTATCACATTTACCTGTTAACAGGTTCTAATAATAATAATGATAATAAAATCAAGAGACTGTCAAATCTATACACAGTTTGGTGGGAAACTTCATCAGTTTTCAGGTCGTGAGTTATATTTGTCTGTAATCTCTTCATGTGGATTCAGTAGTGGGTGGGATTTCATGTCGATTGGATTAATACCACTCAGGAACACGTCTTGGGTGACTGATGAACTTGAAGTACAAATAGGTACTGAACAAACATCTTGAGATGCAACACAAACTATGAGATTCTCCTGCAATACAGAACCGGAAGTGCTATACGCCAAATCATCAGTATCATCCAAAGGGACTTCAACTCCTTCCTCAATTATCTGCTCAGTAACAATGCTATCAGGATCCAAAGAGTCTGTAAAATTAATCGTAGGAACAATGTGTTCATTGACAGAATCATCATCCGTTTTTAAAATAGCTGAATTTTCATTGTAACTACTGCATCCATTCAGACTCTGACTTACAGAAAAACGGTTTATGACACACTCTGACTGCTCTGAGTTTTCACTAATATGGTAGTAGATGGAAGGACATACTGGATTATTTAAATGTACACTGTTACACTCACCATAACCAGGTCTGAGTGTATGAACCTGGAAAAATAAAAGGAATTTAACTTAAATGTGCTGATTAAAAGAAAAATACTGTTAAAATTGTATAAAATATGAAGACGTTTCATGGGATGATAGCATACAATGTGTGAACCTTTGAAATATATGACCGTAAAACACAAAAAATTGACATATTCAACAATACAGAAACCTCAGATGCGTTGGTTATGATGTAAAGCTTTAATTCTTATTACCGAATCCACTACAAAGCCCGACATCAAGGCAACGAGTTTTTTATGTGGACCCAACTCCCACCATGACTCTTGTTACTAATTTAAAGGTTACAGCCAAACTAACATCACGGTGCCACAAATGGCTCAAATAGGCACAAGCTGCTGTGACTTCTACTATACGTGAATTGATCTCATCAATCACGCCACCGCTAGCACTTGCACAGCTACCTAGACACACGAACTTTCTGACTACTTCCATCTGCTTACTACCAAGAATGAGTACAGGTTCAAACTGCCTGAGCTGTTTGTATATAGGGCTCTAAAAATGTTAATAAACTTCTCAGGTACACCCTTCTTTGGTAGACAATCCCAGAGAATAGTCTTGTCCAACGAATGAGGGTGGCCCTAATGTCAAGAAACACAATGAGTTTTGACCTGTAATAAGTATGACGGTGTTCTAACATATGGCGAGGGGTGAAGACATAATCCTCGACTAGAACGAAAACCAGCTTGCTCCTCTAGAATTAAACTTTCTCGGGTTTTAAACAATCTACGAAGTACGACGGAAGCCAATAATTTAGACGCAATCGGAAGTAGACTTTTATCCCCCGGTAGTTGTTGCATTGGTGATGTAAACCCATTTCAAAGATAAAAACTAGTGACTGATCCCCAAATGTTAGAATACGCCCTGATTACCAGACATTTGCGAAGAATTGTTTAATAAATAGAAGGTCCTCATAATCACTAAAAAGGGCCGGAAGTAAGTCATCTGGGATTGGTGATATGTGACGCTTCAGGGGTTGGAGTTCCTTGTGGAATTTCACCTCGTTAGGTGCATCAGTCGTCACCGACCAAGGGGGGGGGCAGTATGATCAATGATGCAGGAGCAGCAAACCATTTTAATCGTTGCTCGAAAAACTGTGTCCATCGTCCAAGAAATCGATAGATGTTATTGATTGGCACTCAGTCAGCTTCACTCACTTCTTGCTGCCACTGTCTCAGATGAGATGAAAAAGCTTCCGGCAGTTACAAAATGCAGCTGCCATTAACAATTCATTAGCACGCTCCGACAACCAGGCTTGTAGTTCCTTTGCACAATTTCACAACGTAAGTCTCTGTTCATGGGCAAACTAGAGGCTAGCCGGAGTAGCCCGACGTGTTTCGATGAGTTGTAACGAATATGTAGAAACCCAGAGCTTATAAGTGAGACGTCGCGCGAAGCCGCAAGCGACTTTACTATTCACTTTCATGGAGTCATGAAATTGCAGCCAGTGCCCATCTATACTTTTCAATGGGTTGATAGTTAGCCTCAGTTTGATATTTACTTGCAAAAGAAGCTGCAACCGACGAATTTATTGGACGCTGAAATGTAAGATTAACGTAAACAATGGTATAACCAGAGTCCAGATAAATAATCCGAGAGGAGCGGGAGTCTTGTACACAACCACGCTAGAGCTAGTTGACCGCTATGTGATAAGTGTGAATCCAGGCTTGAGATACAGAGGGAGGATGCTAGGTGGGACAACGGCGATGACTGTGCCGATGGTTCATACAAGCCAGAAACATGTTTTAGTCTGCGTAAAGTTACAGTAGGTGGTCACCGTTATTTGACCTGAGACCCACGAGTCCCCGTTGGCCACCCAAACGACTCCTCTGTGCCTATACGACCGGTTTGTGCATTCGACTCCCCGGTGAGTACTACAATATCTGTCGAACACACTTTCTACAGAACACTTAATCAATGGTAGAACTCATCCTTGATTGTATCCGGGATGCAGTCTGTCGGAGCGTAGGTAGAGATGACAAAAAGACATCGTTCTTCAAACCGATTTCTTCTTACTTTGATGGAGCTTTCTACTCTAACAGCACACAATCGACTGTTACTGAGGATCCAATCGATTAATACTGCCTCAGATCTAACGCTTAGTGCGACACCAGCGCCAACAAAACCAAACGACAATGTCACAGTCGGAATACATATTGATTAAAAGTTTGTGGTGCCATAATCACTCAGAAAGGATTGTTATATCAAAGAAAACAAAGGCATCAGCGACTAATATTGGTAGACAAGCAAGTATACAGGTCCCATATGATAGTTACATTTCACAAGAGTAAGACTGAACGCAATTAATTTTGTGGAGATAACGACTACAGGATTACAACGAGTAAATCAGCTTAACGAAGGGTTTGTGATCAAGTTTCAACAGTTATTTGATAAATGAAAATTTATTCGACCACACTCCTAAAATGATATCCTTCGACGTTTTTGTTGTGCATGATCTGAATCAAATACTTTAACCGTTTAACCAAACACAGTAGTATTAGATAATAGCGAAAATAATTAATTCTCAAAGACTACCGTTTTACGCCTACCCACTTTTTGCAAATGACTCTTAATAACCATTCTCTTCGCTATGACAGTGTAATATTTTAAGCCGATAAAACAGTGCGTTGAGTCAGTATCAACACGTGATCAAATAGTTCATAGTTAAATGTATTCTTTATATTGGGTATGGAATCTTGTTGGTTGACCTAGCGTGAAGCGATGGCTCAGTGATTAAAGTACTCGACTTCTACTGACTAAGTTGTCAGAAGCCAGCTCCAGCTACTTAAGCTTTTGAGAACCAGGTAATATAACTAACTCTTACATTTAAAATGTGGCTCAAAAGACAAATATAAAAACCTGAGTTAATGAGTAAAAATGATCCAGTAAGTCATGGACTTGAATCTTATTTTTAACACCATACCTCGATCACCGATCCCTAAGAACATTGAGGACGTATATTAAACTGAAAAAATATCATCTTGAAATGAACAGTAACGCTCCTTACGGTGTACATATATGTTGCGCATTGTATTGCCTAGCAGATGAAGTGAAAACGTAAGTAAAACTCTACTCCTCTATTGTGGATACAGGTTCAACTGTGTTTATCTTGATTGTTAGAGGAATGAGGGTGGTTATCACTGCCCCGTTGCCCACATCGTGAAAGGATTTTTCTAGAGCTACCTGAAAAGAAAATTAGGTTAGGTATCTTATTGACCTGAGAGCGTGACCGCAGTGCCCAAGAGGCAACTGCTTGAGGTCATACACGAACTTTTGTGGGTGATTTTTGTGTTAGCTCCTACTTGTTGGAACCTTACCGCCGGAGACAAATATCCACGGAATAAGGCGAGCCGTATAGTTTAAGATCGATCTCTTCCAACCTCGCCCTCCCTTTGTGAGAAGGCAAAATCGTCGTTATGCTGGTTATCTGAGGGAAACACCTTACTGTCACGATAGGCAAGCCCAACCACAACGTCAAGGTAGCAGCAGTGGTCGGGCTCAGTTGTGCATAGATTCTGGAGATTATAATAAACAACAAATATTCTTGGGATGCAGTTTTTAAATATTAAAACCCCTAAATTGTACAAGGAAACTCCGACTAAATACGGGATAGTAAAACTGACCTTTCGAATACATAAATGTGAACAGAAAAAAGAGGACTATTTCTATAAGATACGCTTGACAACAAGATCAAAATCAGAACCCCAAATAGTCAAATGCTAGCAGGAAGATGAAGAGTTGGTGAGTCTGCATAACCACCATTGACTTTGAAAGGCTTTTCAGACTTTGAACTTCCAATATTAAATTTAGCAATAAGGCAATAGTATCTGAATGTTTTAAAAATAATGGTTAAGCATGTGAAGAGTACTGAAAGATTATTGTTATTATCCAGTTGATAATATCGACTTTTAACTTGTACATAGTCTCATAGTCAATAGGAAAGGATAAAAATATGCAGAGAAAGAAAACCGGTGACGAAATGCTTAGAAACCAAAACTCCATCTTTTTTACAAAAAATATAATTAGAATGACAAACATGTTAGCGTCCTTAAGAAATGTCACTGTGAAAGATTACACTAACTTAGTATACCAACGAAAGTGGGTTTTATGAACAAGACTTAAAACCAACATAACTATAAAGACACTATGTTCTATCCCAGAAACAGGGACACACATTTTATTTATCTCAAGACCTCACGATTGGCACTCCGTGATAAAATGGACAGGAATATTAGGAACAAATAGCACTTACTTTGTGTAACTGGAACCAAGCACGACAGCTAGCAACACGAGCCCACACTAGTAGGCTATCAGTAGATATCCCAGGCTTTAGTTGTTGACCAAATGCCAGAACGACTTCGAAATGAGGACGTGACTGTTGATTTTGACGATATGAGTCCAGGTGAAACAAAAACTGATCATAGTCGAATATTTTCTCCCTTAACCGACGTCCAAGCTTCTTTGCCAAAATATATTCTCCACCCACCGTTGGAATATACACAAAAACGGCACACTTGCATATTCTTTCAGCGTAAATACTACCATGGATAACTGTCAGTATGATTCCCCTGACCATATTATCCAACAAGAGATCAACATAGGCCTTGTTGGCTACTGAGATTTGGTGTGGAATTTGTGCTTCAATAGGATCAGGAGCAGCAGGTGAGCTGATCTGTAAGATACATTAGTCAAGAAAACGGTAAATACCTCATCAAATCTCCCATAGTAAATACAACAACCATTAGGATTGGTAACTATTGTGTCTCTAATGCGGACACTTAGATGTTGGATGCGCACACCTAACTGATGGTATTCCGGTTCCATAATGTCAGGTAACAACTGAACATGTTGATTTGCTGAACCAATCCCAGGGATAAAACGGTTAGGAAGAGATATGCCCCCAGTTATGACTGTAGTGTTGTTTGGAGCTTGATACTCAGTGTAACTTGATGGGGACAAGTTAGCATAACTATCTAAGTTCATGTTCTCGTTATCGCATCCCAGTCTTTGAGTGGCATTAGCGCTAGTAGAATTGTAATAAATCTTGTTACGGTTAAGCTGGTGACCTTGTAGTATATAAGCAGGGCGATAATTGGACTGGATGTGTTGAACACCATCACCTCTTCGGATCTGAAATGATAATAACAGTGATAAATTACTCAATTACATCGACTGGAAATGTTTAAAAGAAATTTTGTACTTTAACCAAAAGATAAAGCACTTTTGAAGGAACAAAAATGTTTGAAGAAACTTCTAAAAATTTGGGGACAGGTGTCGACGTCAGCCATTATAGTTGCGAATATTTTACATAAAGCACGTACAAAAAATGTGTAGCCTCAAGAGGGTGAGTCACTTCGAATCTGTTTCTGCGCAGCAAAATTGAAAATGGTTTACCTTTATCTGAATCATCACTGAATTATCGAATGGCGTCTACGCAGAATTGCAGTAAGACAACTATCTTCAGTTTGTGAGGTACGACCTCCAGTCGAGAATGTTTGGTAGCTACCTACGTCCGAGTCACTGACTCAAAAAGATCCGAATAATCTAACCTGGAAGCCCAATGACAGCACACAGCTATTCAAAGATGTGGGTTTTAGACCACTTCTCAACGAAATACCAAGCAGGGTCGGTGTGAGTACAAGTACCCGGCAGTCTGGCCGAAATGCCATGATTTCTCAACAAACGATGAGGTCTCGGAACTCTAAGTTGAATGTCCAGATCTTCATAACTGCCTATATCGAACACTAAATACTGATGTTAAAACTACAACAGTAAAGGCTATTAATTTATAAAAAGGAGCTATGGACTATAACTTTCGCAGTAATACATGTTTATGAACAGAGTTATAAAAGACAGCAAACAATGGAGGATTTAACATTTATGAATTGGTTGGAGACCCCTAGTCGAAGGCTCATGTCCAACGAGGGGTAACAAGCGCAACAACAAAAGAAAACAAGACAGACTTAGTGTACAAATATTAGACTCAGAATTATCAGATAAACCAGACCGTCAACACCCAGCTACTCTAATCATCACCGATCAAAATTATTTGAAATACAAAAGCAAGTACATAAAACATCAACGCCCTAAAAATCGAACTTATTTACCCCAGAAACTAATTAAGATAAATGATGTAGACAAATGTACAGATCCTGATTTTACTTATGCAAGTGGAAAATAAATGAAGTCATATAAGATTTAAATGCAACGCAATTGGTTAAAATGAAGTAAGCAACATCAAACATACCACAGCAAACCGACGGGTATTCGATTTGAGCCCTGACAACTTCTGGACAATCAGCGTAGGTCGTCTTGAAAGCGGAATTGGAGAATTCATTGGAGAGCTAGAAGCGTTCGATCCACTCCACGAAGTGAATCTACATCCTGCCTGTATACCATCGAAGATCATGCTAGCGTTTCTTATCGCATTCGCTCGCCATAGAGATTCTGTTTTGCTCACAAAGCGATACACTTTAAAAGGTTCTTCACAGTGTAAGTTGTGACGCTGCTTGACCTCTTGGATATCAGGCGCTTTGTTCAGTGCACAACGAAGCCGAGTTTTCCACATCGGCCAGTCAGGTGTATCGATGCCCTCCCGATAACGCCCAGTAACAACAGCCCAGTCCTGAAAAGTAAGTATATCTGTCTAGTAATGTACCTTAAATATAGCAGCATCATCTTCCGTCCATGTATGTTTACTATGATGCTTCCAGGGGATCCTGAATATTCCCTTTTCTCTATCGATCCACTTTAGTCCTTCGATCCACCCGTCGTTAAGTCGACTTTCTAACCAAGGCCGAAGCCTGACACGAATATCCATACACTAAGAAAATCTAAAAGAAGAAATATTGCGTTATTTAGATTGTATACGTTGAACAAAAACACGGCAATATAACTACCATATCTATTATTTCATGAAGAAATGCAGTAATCATGCAGTTCGCGACAAATTCTGCAGGAAGACAAACGGAAAGTGAAAAAGAAAACGAAGATGAAACCGAAGCCACTACCGTTAAATCTTTTGGCGCGCTGTTAGGCCATTCAATTTCAACTTCTGATACAAATAGTAAACTATTTGATCCTCAGGATATGCGTGTAGTGGTAATTAAATCTCCAAAATAAATATCTCTGTATGTTTTCAACATTGGATGCTGACCACATGTTTTAGTGGACTCATCTAGCTGAAGGTGCTCGGTCATGCATCCGCACCAGATCATAATATTAATATTAATGGCTTTATTCAATATTATCTTTTTGGTACAATATAGAATTCTCATGTGTGGTAACGCTGTGCTCAACATCTACCGCAATCGCTAGCCAGATTAGATCAGAGAATTCCGATATATTGGTTATCGCCAAATACACTCTTCCGATCTCCTCGACTCTGTCTTTTGATTTCTCTTGGTGGGTACGAACTATATTAGGTGTTGCTGGTAAAAGCATTGTCAAACGCTGAATACCTGTGCCATCTTCATGCGTGTCGATAGCCTAACAGAAAGGGATCCCAATCAATCTACCGTCATCCAAAACAATGGCAATCTTAGATGTTTTTATGCTCCTTTTTCATTTAACTGATATCTAGACGATGAATTCAATCACATATTTCATTTCTTTTTGACTCATTGGTTTTTGCCGCGCCATGCATTTTAGAAGGGAAGTGTTATGTTTCCTAGCCGAGTAAGTCTTTTAATTTCGACTGTATCCCAGTGGGTTAAGGCTTTTTTATATTTATTTAGGCTGGATTTTCAGTTATAGTAACATATAAGTTTCAGCCTTTTGTGTTCAGTGTTTATAACGTTAAGAGCTCTAAAAAAACGCTTTTTGTAAGTCAGTTTCTCACATTCTATGAGACGTTTTATGTTTTTCTCTCTGTGAGCTCACTTAACAATGTCAATGAAGCAAACAAAACATCGTTGTGGTATACCAAAGCAGTGTGACAATGGCTAAAAGTGATATCTTGTGTGAGCCTAACTCACACCGGCTGTATATAGAACGATTTTCAAGCCATTATCACAATGGCTGTGCAAGGCGTACGGCCCTACAAAGTCTCTGCTAATTCTTGAGGCGATTGTAGTCCTAGACACAGCTAGAAAGATGCTCTCAAACAAACGGTTGGTAGCAGATGAGCTGTCAGATTTCGGGGATGTAGTGAGCGTTATCATTAGTCGAGCTTTAGGTTTGAATGACACCATCAGCGTGAGTCCCTATGATCTAATGGATAACAGATAAACAGATTTAGTCATAGTTACAGAAAAAAGCACGCTAAAAAGGAACAAATTACAGGGAGCTCTAAAATATGTGAGTTGATGGTTTCAGCAGCAGATTCCGCTATGGATGCAAAATAGAATATGCAAGAGCAAAGTCTGAGCGATATAGATTATGTGATCAAGAAACAAGATAAGGTCAACAATTGGCTAACAGTAGTGTCTAGAAAATTAAGTAAACAGTGAGACCTTGTAGCAGCAAATAAATCCTGTGGCAACTTCAAGCTGGACGTCTGATGCGAAATTGAACTGCAAGGAAAAGATTTTAGGCAACAAAACCTCACCGTTTTTTGAAATGGATATCGTTGAAAAGTCAGTCATTTCTGACGACTTGAGAGTCTTCCGAAGAGGAACCAAAGGCTAGATTGAACAACACCTAAATCATATTTAGTTCTCAATAAGCAAGATACTTTCAGAAACAGTAGCAGGATTTGGTATCCATAAGCTTTATAGAATAGAATAAAAAGTGGATCCTGTAAGTACGTAGGTAAGCCGCCTCATAAAAGTCACTTTTTCTTGTGCAAATGAAGGAAACTTAAAACTGGAAAATTCATGCAAACTTTCTGGATCAGGATTATCAGCAGTACGGATCTCAGTCTGGTTGATCGCATTATGAGACGAACGGTAGAGGTTGAAGTAAATGAGTGCCGCCATGACGGTGAAAATAACATTGCACTTCACAGTTTTCATGTTTTAAATGTCAGTAGCAAAACGGTTCTCAAAGTAATCTCGGCTGCAGGAAAAATATCTCCACAGAATTAAAGGTATGGTACACAAATCCGTAATTCATATGACGGACCACACAGCAAAGTGGTGCATGGACGGCGATCGCCCGATGCATTCAAAGTGGGGACCGGAGTCAGACAAGTCTGCTTACTCTACCTACTTCTCTTCCTTCTAATAGTTGATTGGGTTATGAAAACCTCAACATCTGAGGGAAAGCATTAAATACAATGGACTGCTTGCATGCACCTAAGCGATTTGGACTTCGCAAATGACCTACATCCTCTATCCCACACACACACACACCAACAAATGCAGGTGAAGATAACCAGTGTAGCAGCTGTCTCTGTATCAACAGGACTCAACATACACAAGTGAAAAACCAAGATACTCAAATACAACACACAGAACACCAACAAAACCAATCACATTTGATGGAGAAACTCGAGAACAGGTGGAAACTTCCACCTACCTGGACAGTATCGTCGATGAACAAGGAGGATCCGATCACACGTAAAGGCAAGGATTGGCAAACTCAACAACAGGACTCCTACAGTCGAAGAACAAATGGGACTCAAAACAACTGTCAACCAATATCAAAGTCAGAATCTTCAATACGAACGTCAACACAGTCCTACTGTACGGAGCTGAAACTTGGACAACTACTACAACTATCGTCAAGAATGTACAAGTATTTATAAATACTTGTCTACTGAAGATGCTCAATGTTCGTTGGCCGGATTCCATCATCAACGGTCTATTGTGGGAGAGAACAAACCAGCTTCCATCTGGAAAGGAAATTAGGAAAAGATGTTGGAGGTGGACAGGACACACATTGAGTAGATCGTTAAACTGCATCACGAGGCAAACGTTGACTTGGAATGTTGAAGGTAAACGGGAAGGAGGAAGACCAGGGAACACACTGCGTTGGGAATTGGAGTTAGACATGAAAATGATGAATAGCAGCTGGGAAGGATATTGCAGGACAGAGTTAGATGTAGAATGCTTGTGAGTGGCCTATGCTCCTCTCCAATTGACAGCGGGTGTAAGTAAGCATATAAATACTCGCAACCTACTGAATAAATCATGAGCCCAAAAACGTGGTGGACTTAAAAATAATCTGGTGTCAGGGTCATCTAAGAAGCATGATTGGCTTCATAAGTGTATGATAGCGAGGTTCATTTGGTAGGTTTCTTCTCTTGTAGGATGAACAGACTTAGCCACAATAGTGGCGAGGCTATTCTGTACATGAAAAGCACTTTATCAGTATGAGTTTTTGAGACTGCAGCACACTGCTCAAGAGCCTACGAACTGGTGACCTGCCGGCCGAAATGTATAGAGCAAAACATTCATTTGTTGCAGTTTACCGCATTTCATAATGTGTAGTGGATGATTTCCTCCTAAATAAACTTAAACTGTGGTCAAACAGGCGTTAAAGCCTCATAGTAGGTGACTTTAATACACCCTCTATAAATTAGGGAAACTCGGAAGTAGGAACGCTAAAAAAATCGTTTGATTACAAATTTTTAAAAACTTCAGTCGCTCTAGCTTAATTCTAGCACATTAGAGATCCCACAAGATATAATCTACGAAACTCGTCTCTCTTAAACTTAGTCTTCACACATGACGATAGTGGCAATCAAGGAACTTTCCTCCCATATCTCGGGAGATCATGCAGTCATCTTATTCAAGTCCATAGCTGATATGGTCTGTCAAGCAGATGCATCGGCCCCCTAACTAGCATATGAAAGGCAGACATGAAGGCGACCAATTATGAAGCGTCTGCTGAAAACTGGAATGTTGAGTCATGCGCACCAGTGGAAAAATCATGGAATCATTTCCGGTAGTAGTACAACCGAGTAACTCGACTGACTTACACTCTGGACGGTCCAAAAGGAGAAGGGGCACGGCCATCTCTGGATAGACTGGGGTATTATACGTCGACTAAGACAAAAGAAGGAATGTTGGAACGTCGCCGCCAGTCTTAGGACAGCAAATACGATGGAACACCACAGATTGGTATGAAATAAGTATATAAGTACGATCCAGGCAGCTCAATAAAAACATAAAAAGTAGTTAGCCCAATCTGTAATCATGCAGCCGAAGAGACTGTCCTCGTGCGTACGTTACAGAACAAGAACATATGATTGGATTCCCATCCTATAGACGAGGGTGAACCTCACATGACAGAGGATGATCAGGAAAATGAAGAGGTCATGGCAAACATTTCGGGGTAGTTTTCACTCAAGATTCTCTTCTAGACGAAGAACCAGACCTAAATACAACTCCACGAAATAAGCTGCTTTCTGTGTTCTTTGATCTAGACAACGTACTAGACCATGGTCTTAAAACCGCGGCTTTCTTGCTAGGTCGCAGCTAAGGGGTTTAGAACCTAACGAGGTTTAAGACAGACATTTATTAGGTTAGATATTAACATGTTTACCACAGTATACACGAATTTAGCTAAATTCCAGCCTGAAGACCAAATTCAGGCTTCAACCTCCTGTCTAAAAGATTGCTCGGATATCTTGTAATAGGTACAGAGGGCAGCCATTTATGCAATTCCAGATCTCCAGTGGTTACAATACAAAGAGCGATTTCAGAAGTTAGACCACTTTACTCTGTCTTACCGCAGACTAAGAGGTGATCTGATTTTGATGTATAGGATACTAAGAAATGATTTTGGAACCATTATATTCTATATTTTCTTCCTGCCAGATCGGTAAAACTGCAGGACATAGCAGACAAGTAGAAAAGCCAAGAACGAATGAGATATCCGTGGAATACAGGCTGAATTGACACAGGCCGTAGGCCTCCTGCCCTCAATACACAC